GATACATGTAGCGTTAAAGGATAGTGGTGTTGGTTGGAATGACTCATTGGCCATGGTCATTGTGGAACCAGAAAAATGGAAGAAACTGATCAATGTAAGATTTTTTCATTGAACCAAAAAATTGTTGCCATATTCTGGTTGCAAGTACTAACTATGTTGTTGTCTTGGTATTAAATAGGATAATGGAAAAATGGCTAGGTTCCAGAAGAAGCCGTTTCCTTTATATGAAGACTGTACATCATTGTATGCTGGTATGTTATTTGAAACTTCTCTCTAAGGTTACAGTAATATTTGTCTTTTTTATTAAAAAACATAGATTGTGCTTTTTAGTGTATTCTAGTCCTAAAGGATTTGAAGAAAATGTATCTCTTCGTTAATATCCACCCCTTATTACAAAACCATATCTTAACTGTTTTTTCTTATTAATCATGAGGAGGGCTTTCTCTCTTTCCATCATTCTTCATCTCACGTTGAGCTCTTCACAATGTCTATTTCCGTCAATCCTTGATCTCACGTTTACTGTGCATTGAGCTATTCGCAATGTCTGTTCCCATCTTAACTGTTTACTGTACAAAACCCTATCTTAACTGTTTTGGTGTGTTTTTTTTCCTTTTACAAAAAGAGTAAATAAACTTTTTAACTTGTTGGTAATTACCACCCGGACCATATAGTGGCGGCATTGTGTATGGATTTTAGTCCTACTCACACCACTAGTCATAACTGACAGATATGCTGGACTGAATTGTTGAGATTAGCTAGTGTAGAAAATCCAAGAAAATAGCATGTGGCCTACATACATAGACACAATTTGTTCTCACCTGTCACTCTGGATGAGGACCATACAAGAAGTTACTAGGAAATGAAGTGAAATGAAAAATAAAGAATCCACCTGCAGTGAAATAAAGAATGAAAATAGGCACTTCTTGAGCCAGCATTACAAAACCCTGTGAACAAAAGAAACCAACTAACAAAATAGCAAATGTTTTAAATATAGACATTAACAGTGTTGGATTTTTACCTCCAACGGCTAATCCTATTACACAATCACGGTGGGCAGCGGTGTTGATGATTTAAACACTCCAAAGAGATCGTGGGCCATCAATTCTGACAAATCAATTCCCCTATTGTTTAAGAAACCATTATTACTTCCATGATCTGATTCAAACTGTTGTCATCAGCTCCTCGAGACAGTTGTGTTTTATCATCTGACTCAACAGCACCAGAGTCAGCGAACATCAACGATAACTCCCCAAGGAGTAAACATCTAAAACTCCTATTTTTTTTGCATAGGAAGTGTTGCTACAGGAGATCTAAACTTCACATCAATCGAGCACTTGCGGCTGCTCCTCTCTGTTCCTATTGTTTGCTCCAATTTGCTCCGGCCGCTCTCTGGTCGCTCCAGTTGCTCTCTGCTATGTTGTTTGATAGCACAAGTCCAGGTGCTACTTTTGATGGGCTAGACGTCTCAAGTGCACGCAATGAAGCTCAGTCTGCACCTTCCAATCAAGATTCTGTGCAAGGAACGAGTGGTGGGAGAAAGCGTAAGCAAAGTCACATTGGTGTTTGCTATTGATGGTTTTGTGCGCTTTAAGAAGATGCAAACAAGTAAAACAATGGAAGCACTCAATGAAAAGAAGAAACAAGACGAAGCATTTTCGATTCGACAAGTGTCTCGATGAAGTTGATGCAATGGAACTTCTTGATGTGGAGAAGGCGTATGCTATGAATATCTTCAAATCGATATTGACGGGGAGGTATTCATGAAAATGAAAAACAAAAATGTTCGTTTGATTTGGCTCAAACAGCATATTAGGTAATGCTTGGTACATCGGATTAGTTTACTTTGGTATGACTTAGTCGCTAATGCTTTTCCTTGTGCTTACTTGCGATTATATATCTGTGGAGGCAATGTTGGTGGAGGCAATGTTTGAATTGAGAAGAAAAACGCAATTTGCAGTCATTGTATGCGGTATATTATTTGAACAACAGACTTGCACTTGCCAACAGCTATGACTACCGATTGATCTTATTTTTTATTAGCCTAGGAATTTGCATGTCTGTGAGATAGTAATCATATACATGGATTTTTTTTCATGGTTCTACACATGGTATAATAAGTCTCCCTGTTTGTTGGTGTTAGCTGTTGGGTGAAGGACTGAACCTACTGTGAGTTTGTGAGACTTGTCCTGTTGCATTGCATTGTTCATTGCTAATGGATGGAGGAGCCAGTTTGTTGGTGTTAGCACACAAAGACCCACTGGCTATGGCTGGTGTCTACTTCTCTGAATTGTCTCTTGAAAGGGAGCAGTAGAATAATCTTCTGTTTTTTTTTTAGCCCTCAAGCATTGGCAGATCCTGATGTAGCTATGTCTTTCTGTTTCATGCAAGTTTGTCACGTTACACTTGTTTTTTTTCCAAATCCAAAGCATGCATGTTTCATGTTTTTTTTCTAAATCCAGCATGCATGTCTTCCTGTTCAATGCTTTCTTGTCCTATACCAAAGACGGTTGTGTATTTCATTTATCCTAGTCTGAATCGATAGATTGCCATAGGCATCATGAGAACAATCTCCTTTTACCTATGTTATATGTATTTTGGCCATATACAATAGCATTTTCCGAGCCGCTACATGTCATGAGAGATCACCATTTTCATTATTGTGTTACTACTGGAGATGTCTCAATGGAAGCAATGCATGATTTAAAATAAGTGAAGTCATAACTTTTGATAGTACTTTGCTAGATGCCGTAAGACATTGAATGTAAGGATGGTCAAATTCGAGATGATTGAAGTATATGATTATGACTTCACCATTTTCTATTGGATTTAAGGATGTAGAACAATGCAGTATGAATGCTACTAGTAGTTGATTAGATGTCGGATAATACTTTTGCGTTTACTAGATTTGGTTTAAGGTCCGAATTATGTCTCAGATTTGTATGGTGAGACTTGTTCCTAGATTTTCATGATTTTGTGGCTCGACATTGATATGTAGTGATTTTTTTTATATTATTCACCTCTTTTTGTTTTTTTTCTTTATTTTTGCTATTTTTTCCTGATTTTTGAAGACATGGTTTCTCACGGACTCACAGTAGCATTCCTAGGCTAATATGTTGGGTGCTATCTGTGAGAAACCATGTCTCATGTGAAAAACCACCGATTTCTTCCGTTCCAGAAGCGAATGCGGGGAAAAAAGGTTTCCAAAGAGCAGCAGGGGAATGATCCCGCACGTGAAATCTTCCCTGTAGAGGAGAAGGGGATTATGATGTCCGAAAAAATTCCTCCCTTGCCGTTTTCTTCCCTGGGTTAATCACCCTGTGTTGCCAAAGCAGCCCTAAGTGGTTCAACATCCCACCAAGTTAGGGTTTGAGTAGGTGGGTTCAATGTTCTGATAGAAACAAATTTAAAGTGGCGGTTTTACTAAATATAATAGTCTAGTGTGATGGCAAAAAAGTTGCCAGAGCAATGGATGGTGGGTATAGCTATCGATTGAGAACATTGTATGGATCATCAGCCTGTTCATTTGCTCGTATACGATCGTGGATTATAAGCTGGAACAATATTTTTCTCTCACACCAAACCAGCCAGCAGTAAATAATCCACGATCGTTTACGGCCTGTCGAACAGGCTGCATGATGGATGATGGGTATAGCTAGTGATTTGAGTTTATTGGGAACCACCATAGGGGAAAGGAGGGTAACCAAGGTGAGGTCAGGATTTTTAGAAAGTCATCGAAAAATTTTACCGTATTTTTATTAGAAGAGTAAAGAAACATCTACCACTTGGCCACGCGACCACCCACTTAAAGACTTTCCCGCAGGTCGCAAGCAAAATGACTGCACAATCATTGGATCAATGGATGGTTGTCTACCGTCCATGGGAAGTTAATGAGATGCCAGAGGCCCAAGGCAAGGCGTGGCCTTGTACGCTCAGAGCTATTATGAACGAAAAATACATGCGGACAAAAGGAGAGAGGAGATGAAAACAAAACAAGAAGGGCAGATCATTTTTCAGGAAAAAAAAACAAAAGGGACAGAAAGGATTTTTCAAGTTTTCGCTACAGGCTACAGCGGCCGTGGATCATCTTCAGCTGACACGATGAGAATGAGATTCGAAGCGAGCTAAGCATCAAGGTCATGGCTGGCGTAGCTGCTGCTGGGCCAGGACCACCAACCCTACACGCTGCGGAAAGAGCCGGCGCCAAAAGAAGCCCGTGAAACCAAAAGCGAACCCGATCCGCAGGCGCCGCAAGGAAATCCAGCTCCAACCATAAATTCACGTGCAGCAAAGTCAAAAGCTATGGGGGTTTCCGGTGAACACTATTCAAATCACACACTCCGAGGACACGATGAGTCGATGACCAGGCAACACAGACATTGGAGTCCAAGCAAGAAAAACCTCAAGTTCAGAACGATGTGTCCATGTCCGTTAAGCAAATGCAGCACTGCAAATGTGGAAGTAACAAGGAGAATTGCAATGGCAGATTAGCAGCTCCAGATTTTGATGGCAAAGTTGTTCAGCCTCAGCCTTCAGCATGAACGGAGAGAAGTGCATCCCTGCGTCTTTGCACTGCCGCACAGGTGATGAAACAGTAGAAATGTTATAGGCAAAAACAGAATGAACCAACGGCCAAGGAGAAATCTCAACCAAAACTCCATCCATCAGACTAGGATACTGAATTAGGCATTACCATATTACAAAGATCTGTGAGGTTTCTGCATAAACTGACAAAATCAAACCCTGCTGACAAACACCTAGTCACCTCTAGCGAACCTACAGCACTGTGCCACTGTTGACATGTCAAGCTACCAAAGGGCTGCAGAAAAGGTAAAAATGTTAATGCCAGTAAATAACATATAACCCGACAGCTACTGCAAAGCCTTGTATGGGCAGGAAAGCCATTCACTTTACCTCATTTGATGATTCCATTTAAGTTACAAAAACTAAATATGATACAAGGAGCAACAAAACAAGCACTAGAGCTGCTACCGCTAACGGTGCTACCTGCTTCCTATGTCCTTCCAAGGATCCGCGTCACTGCCCATAATCTTAGAACCGGGACCATATTGAGCCTTGAGAGCAGCAGCCACAGGGTCTGAGACATTGCTAACGAGGATACCAGCACCCCCAAAACGGGCGACTCTACCAGGCTGCTGGAAACCCGAGATGAGTTCCAGACCATTCCTCTTTTGCGGATCAGAAAACCTTTCCAGCCGCTTGGGATCTGATTGATGTGGCGGCACTAAAGGTTGTTGATAATCTGGGAACACACCAAGCGTGCCATTCTTAGCCGAGTAAAACGGTACACCGGCCAAGGATCTCTGGCACTTTGCCATCACGAGCAGAGGCTCAGGCTGTAGCATGCTTCCATCCAGATGGCCATAGCTCCTCACTGATCTTTCCTCCAGACCCATATGTGGAGTGATGCCAGGCCTGGAAGAACAAACCACACGATCCTTTGGATTGTTCATCAATCTCACAGATGATGTGTCAATCTTTGGTGAGGGAGGCTTGCTCTTGCTACCATTACACGATGAACCAGAACTTTGCAAGGTTGACTGCTGGCTGAGAATCTGCCCAAACAACTTGACATCACCAGGCCGCTTTTGTTGCTCATCACCCTCAGAGCTTGTATTGTGAGAGCAAGGCCTCAAAGAGCCTTCCAGTACTTCTTCGTGTTTTCTAGGCCATTGAATCCCATCAGAACTGTTTGGAAGACACAAACGGCTGGACCTGCCATTCTGGAATTTTGTTTGGGTGAACCGATCGGTTTGTGAAGCACTCACAGTGCCACTTGCAGTTCTTTCAGATAAAATTGATAATTCAGTTGTCAGATGATGATTCATATAACCATCAATATTACGAAACAATGTGTGCTGATTACCAGATGGGTCTTTAAAAGCTGGGTACTTGCTCATGTCTTTAGCCCCTATAGCACTGCTGACTCTGTTGCCACTGTCCTCAAAGTTGGGCATAGTTATTGAGGCTATGCCCTCAAAACGAAATGCAGTGGGATCAGAAAGCACTGAACTGAACTGCACAGGCATTAAATCCTTCGGGGTAAGGGGGGTAACCAGTGGCTTTGGTTTCAGCAGGGGCATATCTCCTGGTACAGAATGCTGATAACTTGAAGTGAATGCAGGACTAACGGTGGAAACACCAGTCATGTTTGAGATGCGAACACTGTCCTTGATACCATTACCTGAAGCTAAGAAAGCTGAGGCACCAGAATTTCCAATTTTCATTGGTGTGTTATCAAGAGCATGGTGTGAACATTCTTCCACCCGGGAAGGATCAGTACCAGTACCTTCAGCTTTGTCTGTTTGAAGTACCTCTATAGAATGTAAACTGGATCTCACTTCCGAGTGCGTGGCCATTGCATGCTTAGTTGAAGAGCTGATGGCCCTACTACAATGCATGTTTACTTGGTCATCGACATCATCAGTTCCTTGCAGCTTATCTGTGCTTTCTGGGCAATTGATGTCAATAGGACCAGCTTGGTGAGTACCATCACTGGACCTCTTATCATCAACAATGCTGCAATTTTTATCAGCTTCCTTCTCGTCTTCCTCAATTTTAACATCAACATCGCACCCATTTGATATATCTCCTTCTGCCTGCTTAGAGATTTTTATAACAGAGTTAGGCCCTCCAATGGCTCCTTCAGTAGGACAAACATCTATCACAATCTTTGAACAAGACTGTGTGCTACAGATAGCTGAATCCATTTCCACAGCGCAGGCCTCATCAGTATCGCTCCTCCCTCCATTGGTGTCACTAGCTGGCATACTAACATCGGCTGCCCCTTGATGGATCAAATCCAAACCGAGTGATTTACGAGCCTTACTAAAGAACACTTTGCACTGTTCATATGACTTGCTCTTCACACATGACGAGATCCGAGCAAAATCCTTTCCGTAGTTATTCATAGCCTCAATGAAAATTGACTTCTCATCATCATTCCAATCAAGTTGATCAACTTCACACTCTTGATCAGAGAGAGTGTCTTCCTCATCAACGATTTTGTCATTTTCTTGGGATAAGACATGCTCCACTCTTTTCATGCTAATCTTCTGGCCAGGATCAGCAGAACTAGTAATGCATGAGCCCATTCCATCAGGAGAGAGAGTGCCACATATGCCAGCTAGTACATCAGCTGCTACTGATTCTCTCTCATGCAAAGGCACATTGTCAATGCACTCCTTATCAGAAGATCTTTTAGCCACAAAAGGAACATTGGGCCCATATGAAGTCCAGATGAGGGATTTCGCAGAAATTTTCTGCACCTGGTTTGCATATTCAAGGCCATGGGCTGCTACTACTGATGCTGCCCCAAGCATATCAAGAGAAGCAGCATTTGACTCAGGATTCCATTTCTGTCCAGATTTCGCTCCAAGATAATTGCTGATGGGTTGCTGTTGACGAAGGTCCAACAGTTTCTTCACTTCTCGGAAGATGTCTGATTTATGATGCTTGTAGTAGAACTCCACACAGTCTGCAGTAGTTTTATGTGTAATGAAACTGGAGATTTTGGAGAAATCCTTGCCAAATTTAGCAAGCATCTCCATAAAAATTTCCTTTTCTTCTTGAGTCCACGGATTTATCATCACCCGTTCCTTCTCAACTAAAACAGGATCCTCAACCAGCCCATTCTTGCTCAGAAACCTCAAGCATTCCTTCTCTTTCTCATCAATAATCAGTGCAGGCATTTTCAAGTAATTTCTGCAGCGCTTAATTTGGAATTCTGTAAACAACTTCCTTGCAACATCTGACATTTCTGGAGTTGAAAATGTACTTAAATTACCAGCTGCAAACAAAAATAAACAAGTCAATATAGAACAAAAATAAACAAGTCAGTATAGAGCGAAGGACAAAAGCATGGGATTTCAACTAGGGTACTGATAACCATTCATATAAAATATGGAAGCAAAAAAATACCAGAAATAGAAAAAAAAATCTACGAAAAGTGACAGTTCCAAACAAAATAAGACCAAATATTCAGTATGCTTGGGTTCACACAGAAAATTGAACTTCGAGCACAGTATTATCATTGTAGCACTAAATAAAGATATACAGTTCAATTCTTCATTTTAGGTTCCTGCATTGTATAGTTTTTTGCCTAACATAACAGTGCCATGGAAATTCAGTCAACACTTAGACTACAGGACATAAACATGCCACTTTGTAAAGACTTGCACATCAATATATATGTTATAAAGCTATCAAATGCATGACTACATAAAAAGAAGTTTACACGGTCATGCTAACATGTGAAACAGAAATAGATAGTCCAAAAAATCAAGACTTGATCATTGATAAACCAACACGAAGGACAGGATGTTTGACATCCCATATCTAGAGCTGCTATTCACTGGATTGCAATTGGCTTCGTGGGTGAATAAATATGTTTAGGGATTTTTAGTACATGGTTTTATTTCACTATAATTTATTTGTGTGTGTGTGTGGGGGGGGCTAGCCAACAAGTATCATGCTGCTGAAACAACAAATACACAGCAGCAGTAAGTAAATTATCAAAATATGATATATGAACTACACTCCATTTTAATGTGAAGTAGGACAAGCTTATTAGTTCATCTAACGCTCATATGTTTCCTTGGTAATTTACTAAACAATCTATCATCATAATCTACACCATGAGCAGGAGATTGACATATGAGTATGAGAGCTTATAAAAGCTGAGGCAGGAGTGATACACGATATTTTAAATGCAGATGAAGCTTAAACAAATTTTGATATAAAATGAAAACATAATACTGACCAGGCATGGTTAATCGCGAGCGGTTAGAGGAGCGTTGCCTCTGAGATCCAATTTGCAATGTTCGGTTGCTCTGATCAATGCGCTTATTAGACTTTGAACGCTGTTTCTTTGCAGAAAGTAGTCGCACATCCTCTTTCCACAAGTGACGATATGCCTTGAATTTCATTGTAAGAATCTGCTCTTTCAACCTCAGACTTGTTTTACATACTCCAAGCCTTTCTTTGACAATCAAACCACTCTTCCTTTGGCTCAGAAGATGACTTGATGCCAACATCTCAAGGCCAGGTGTATCAGCAGGCAATGATTTAAATAGCACTTCATTCATTTCTTTGGCTATATCATTATTTGCAGATGTGACAGAACCGAGTAAATCAGACTTATGATCATGGTATGTCCATTGCATCACTGGTAGGTCATCACTAACTTCTATTTTCATGGAATCAGCATTAGCATGGCACGAAGAAGTTTCCAGCCTGTCATTGTCAATATCATTTTGAGACCCAGCTTCTTCAGAAGCTTTCGATGAGCTAAGATCAGCAGCAGCACAGGCCTTACCCTCAGCAACTCCAGGAGATACAGCACTCTCTTCTGAAGGAACTGTTTTTGCATTGCGAACTGGAGCTGCTTCAATTTCCATCATATCAGCACCTTTGACATCAGCATCCTGCACCACAGGTACCTTTGGAGAACCAATGAGCTCCCCGGTTCTTTTATCATATCAGTAGCATCACAGATCTCCACACTTCCAGGGACCTTTGATGTCCCACTGGAAGGTGAAAGATTTTCTGTATGTGTCACCCCTGTGGGAGAACCCTCAAGAGCAGTTACAGCCTCAGTATTCACAGATTTAAGTTCGCCTTCCAATGAATCAATCTCGAGTTCAGTCTTTTCAATCTCCTTGGAAATGCTTTCCTTCAGTAGAAGCAGTTTACGTGTACTGGTCGGGCCATTTGAATCCCCAGAACAAGAATCATCATGTTGGATAAGTTCAACAAGCATGTTTGCAAGGGAATTAACAGGATCATCACCGAGCTCATCTAACTTGATGGAAAATTCATTATTGAAAGTTTTATCATCAGCTTCCAAGACATCTTTAGTAGAGTTAGTAACCGTATTTGGCGTCATTTCACATGATTTATCTTCAGGTGCTGCAATCAAGATATAGGAGAGTTATTACGCTACCATAAACTATGTGAAACACAGTGTTTTCAACTATGGTACATTCTGCACACGAAGTATCTAGCATGCTGATCGAAAGAGTCATTAACCATAGGGACCAAAACGGTTATCTCTAAAGCATAAATGTTTTGGTACAAAAGAAAACGAAAAAAAAAACGGCAGAGTGAAGGTTACTGCACAACATGACCAATGAAAATCGAAGGATCTCCGAATTACTGTTGAAGACCATGGGAAGGTATGCTTTCAGTCAATCAGGTAAGACAAATGACACACATGGCAACCAAGGGAATGCGTGAACCTCAATACAAATATATCCACAAACTGTTTCGGTTCCTTTATGATTTTAGAACTAAACTCAACAACAGAATGGAACCTAGATTAACCGAGCCCACAAATTAGAAGTACTGGGTATTAGAATTATCTATGTACGAAACCTGAGGGGAAACAGGGTATTTAGATCAATCAAGCTAGCAAGGAGACAGATCAAAAATCAAAACGGGTTGCATACCTGGGGAACAATATGGTGGTGCAGTAACTGGAGATGAGCATCGCACAGGGGCAGACAAAAGCACAGGCGCAGCAGGCGGTGCCGGTGGTGCTGCCGCAGGCTCAGGCGCTGGTGCAGCAGGAGGTACAGGTGCAACAGAAGGTGCAGGCAGAGGCACAAGGGAAGCGGTCTTCTGTTCGCCATCAGCTGGACTTCCATCAGCAACAGCTTCAGCAGGATCCGCAGGGCCTTGCACCTTCCGCTTCTCATACTTGGCCAAACCTTGCCCCCATCCGAGGCGAGCCTTCTTCCTTGGTGCCTCATCCTCCGTCCCGTGAGGACCTGCCACGGCCAGAGGCTGAGCTGAAGCCTCCTTCCCTGAGGCAGAGAGCCGAGTGGTTTGGCCAACAGCATCTGCTGCTTCAGATCTGCTCTCCCTTCTCCGCCATGGTGTCACCCGTGGGAGGTTGTCCCTATCCCCCCTGTCAACTCTATTGCCCGGAGGGTCATAGCAGATCGGAACAGCGACTGACCTCAACGGAGACCTTCTGGGGGGTGGCGGAGGGGGCTGCTCTGGATGGTTTCTGGAGAAGTCGCTTCCGTAGCCGCCCCTGTAAGGGGACCTCCGGTATGAACCCCTCATGTCACGGCCGTCCCTGCGGCCGCCGCCGCCATACCGACCGAAACCCTTGTATCCCCCGCCGTCGTCCTCCGGCCAGTACCGGTCCGAGCGCGACGGCGTGTAGACAGGCGGCGGGTCATCAGGGTAGGAGCGGTCGTACGCGCCGCCGCCCTGTCGGTAGTAGCCTTCTGAAATAGCAGAGCGGTTGGAGGAAATTAGGGACGCCAGAGGGGGCCGAAGAGGCGGCGGCGGCCTCAGATCTGAAGATTCGCGAGGGGCAGGCCTACCTGAGGAGGCCGACGGCGGCGCCCGGCGCGGCGAGGGCCGCGAGTGGTCCCGCAGGGGCGGTGGCGGCGGCGGGTGGTACGGCGAGTCCCGCCAGCGCGGCGGCGTGGGGGCGGGCGGCAGGAGCGGGTCGCCCCCGCCGCCACCGCCGTCGTGCCTGCGGCCCTCCCGGTACAGATAGTCCCTTCGATCCGGCGGCGGCGGAGGCATCCACGGCGCCGTTGTCGTCGTCGTCCCAGCGGCGGCTGTACCAGGCTCCGGCCGCCGCCGCAAATCACATGCGCGCGGCGAAGCCAACTCTGGGGCGCGTCTGACCTCCTAGCCCGTCGAAAACCTACACAGAGGCACACAAATGGAGTCAGCGGGAACCACGCGTGCGTCAGGTTAAGGAAGCCCGGCCTGCCGGCGGCGGCGAGACGGATTCAGGAGCTCAGGACTCACGGTTTCCAAGCGGAGGCGGCACCGGGTTTGGCAGGGCAAGGGCGCCCAGCCCCTGAGGATATGTAGACGCGGCGTGGACGGGGCAGCAGCCTGCCGCCCGCCACCGGTCGGCGAGGGAGCCGCGGAACAAAAAGAGAATAGGCGATGCGAAGCGCCCCGGCGGCGCGGGCAGGCGCTCCAAGGGTCGGAGGTCGCGGAGGCAGGGCGGGCGGGGCACGGCGCGCGCTGATCTGCGCCCGCGTCGAGTGTCGTCGGCGGTGCGCCTGGGGCCCTCTTGGGGCGTGGAGAGGTGGAAGAGGTGGGCGAGAGGGAGGCTGGAGAGGTGAGGCCGTGAGGGAGGGAGGACAAGGAAAGGGGAGAGAGGAACCGGAGACCGCGCCAACGTGAGCCGATAAAGCGGACGCACCCGGCCGGCCCTGAGCCCGATTTGATGCGCGCCCCTCAAGTCCGCGGCCCCCCCTAGAGAGAGAAAGAGGCGGGAGGAAAAAAGAAATAAATTTTCGGGATTTCCTCCATTTAATAACAACCTGCTTTTATTTTATTTATTTATTATTTGTTTTTTTAATTATCCGGTGAAAAAAAAAAGGGGCGGAACACGGAAAGGATAAGCGAGATTGGCAGGCGACGCGCAACGCAAACAACAAACAAACCAAGCAAAACTTCCTACCTGGCCCGCCGAGTTACCGCTTCTGCCCCCGGCCCACCCGCGGGATTCACGGGAACGCCAGCCCCCGATCGACGGCCAGGATCAGGGGGCGATGGCAGATGCCGTAATTCACGCGGACTCCCATGGGCAGTCCGGAACCGTCCCCGTCCGGTCCCCACCGATCTCCGCCCACCGACGCCGACGACGCCACCGCTGCCGGCGAGCTCCAGGATCCGCGCCGCGTGTCGCCCCGTCGAGCGCGGCCATTCGCGACGCCGGAGCAGCCCCGGCGGCTGCCGATCCGCGGCGCGCGGCCGTCGTCTGGGAGCGGATGGATGGATCGATCGCGACGCGGCGGAGCGGAATTGAGCGGCGAGGGGAGGCGCCGGGATCTGTGATGGGGGCAGCGAGCGAGGCGAGCAGCAGCCGTCGGAGATCTGGTGGGGGGGTAGCGAGGCGAGCAGCAGCCATCGCCGTGAGGAGGCTGCTCCGATATGCTTCCGGCTGCAGCGCGGCCGATCTGCGGGGAGGTTATGCTTGCGCTGCATGGGTTTGGGGGATCGGGGGATTTTCGGTGGCGCCGCGGGGTGGCTTTGGGTGGCCGGGGAGGAGGGATCCGGGCCGCTTGGTGAGGAGACGGACGGCTTGGATGGGCTCTAGCGAGAGGTCGGAAAGCAATCATGGCACGGTTACATTAGGTGCTGGTAGGAGTACTAGTAGTACGAGCCTAGTGCGAACGGCTTTGGGTGGGACGGGGGCAGGTGAAAGTGATTTTAGCATGGGCCCCCTGCCGCCTGGCTTTGCTTGAGATCAGGTCGACAAGTTTGCGCCCTCAGGGAACCCGGCTATTCTGGATGCTTTCTAATGCTTCAAAAAAAATGTGGATGCTTTTTTTAGTTTTTTTGTTTTGTTTTTTGTGTTAGTGTTATTCAATTAATCATGATATCAACATTTGCAGAGTTTTTTTAATATATTGGGTACGTAGAAATTTTATGTCATTGCTACCTTCGTCCAACCACCCCCGCACACACACGAAAACAAAAAAAAAACTATTTTAAATTTAAGTAAAATTATAGGAGAAAAGTTTAAATTTATGACAATATATAGTCCTATCATGAAAATGTATTTATGATAAATCTAATACTCTCTCCGTTCATAATTATAAGATATTTTTATATTTTTTAAATATATAGTTTTTACTATATATTTAAACATAACTTATATCTAAGTGCGCGACAAAAACTATGAATCTAGAAAAGCCCAAATTTAGAGCAGAGAAAGTACAAATTATTTAAATAGAATTACCTATATGGCCTCAAAAAAACTATGGCCCTTTTTGTGAAGTTACCTATAAGGCCTGATGATGAATTTGACTCGTCCATTTCAGTCACGTAATGGTGTTAAGTGAGGGGCTAGAATACAAAAACATTTCGACCCACCATATAGCCCCTTATTTTGCAATTACTTGTGTAAATTTAGCCGAATTTGAGAAACTTTGACTTATTACTTTGCTAGAGTTACATTCTTTGACGGAAGTAGTACAATTTTTCGCCCTATAAGTCATGACAACTAGTTCGGGTCACGGATAAAGAATAGCTCAACTATTAACATCTGTTTGGACAAGTTATAGCTAAAAATGGAAAAATTTCTTATTTGGCCCTGGTTTAAAGTTGTCTTTCTTCCTTGGCCCTGAAACAAAATTTCTTACCTATTTGGCCTCACTCGAAGTTTCGTTTCCAATCTGGCCTTACCGTCATCTCCCGCCTCTAACACCGTTAAGTGGCACATGAAATGATCAAACTGTTCCTGAGACATTATGAGAAACCAAAGGCCACTCAGGCAACATAACAACATAATTTTGAGCACTTTGAATCCAATTTTCATAACATAATGTCCAACACTTTGCCTGAGTGACCTTTGGTTTCTCATAATGTCTCAGGGACAGTTTGGTCATTTCATGTGCCACTTAACGGTGTTAGAGGCGGGAGATTGCGGTAAGGCCAGATTGAAAAACGAAACTTCGAGTGAGGCCAAATAGGTAAGAAATTTTGTTTCAGGGCCAAGGAAGAAAGACAACTTTAAACTAGGGCCAAATAAGAAATTTTTCTCCTAAAAAATAGTTGGTTGTTAATTAGCTCATTGTATCCAAACATATCCACAGTCTAGGAGAGAGTGAGAGGCCTAAATAGTTTGGGGCGACCAATTCAAGTTTTCATAGGAAAATATTCTAAACCTAATGTACATTTTGGGATGGAGGGAATACAAATTAGCCAAGGGCAACTGCAATGAAGAGTTGTCCGAATCTAAAACTAGAGATAATTTTTATAACATTAAATAACATGCCAGATAAGCAAAAAATGTTGTGGTGCTATACTTAACAAAGACATGGGAAAATGCAACACGTCTTTTCTCAAATACGAAACAATTTTGACTTGTTCTCCAATGCATTTGGATAGGAGAAACGTTTCAGTTTCTGATGAGAATCATTTGAATCACTTCCAAACTGTCTTTCCAGTAAGTGATTCGAAACCGAAACGTTTCACGGTTTCTACGTACAAATGCGAAACGGCTAGATGCTAGTTTCACACAAATTCTCGTCTCATTACTTCTTACTTTTTTGGTTCATTTTTTCAGTTAATTCTTTTTTAGTCCAACAAGTTAAAATGGTTTTTATTTAAGTTGTTCTCCATCCACAAAAAAGTTTAGATTTTTTGAACATGTTTTTATTTAAATGATTTTTTAATCAAAATCCCATTTGCCATCCAAACGATGTCATAAAATGATTATGATTCATCATTAGAAAAACATTTTTTAAAAGGCAAAATTTGCTACAGGACATGCAAAGTGACCCCTCTTTGCTAGCGGACATGCAAAATTTGGCGATTTGCTGATGGACACTCTGGTTTCTTACAAATTTGCTAGTGGACACCCCATCTAATAAAATATTAATTTCTAGCTGCTGTGGAGAGAGAAGGACAGTAAAATGTCCAATTTGCCCCTGCCCTTTCTTCTACACCTCTTTCTTCTTCCCCATCTGCCTCAAAGCAAAGACCGCGTCCTCCTTCTCCCTCTCCGAAAGCGACAGCTCATTACAGGCGCCATATCACAACGGCAAGGTGCGCTGCGCCTCCTCCGAGCCGCACCAGCGTCCTCCTCCTCCCTCCTCCTCCCCCTCCGAGCAACACCATGGCCAAGCAGGCCCACCACCAAGCATGGCCACCATGGTCTTTGCTTTGTTGAGGCGCCTTGCCACCACCAGGCTTCCTCCCGCGTCCCCACTGCACCTGTGGACCGAGCCTACACCTTGACCGCTTTCCGCCCTCGCTCGTCTGATCTGTTCATCTCAAGACGCTGTGTCGGAGTTGCAGCGCCATTGACGGCCTACACGTGAAGCTCATGACCCGGCTCTCTCTCCTCTCCTCCTCCCCTATAAAGAGCGCCTCGGACTCTTCTCTTTCATGCGTCTGCCTCGCCCTCCCGAGCTCCCTCCCACACCGCAGCGACCACACTTGCCACTGCGGCCGCCATTGATGACCGGCTTTTAAGTTCCGCGACCCAGCCATCCTTCCCCTCCCCACCCTATTTAATGGAAGCACCGTCATCGTGATCGCACGTCGCCACCACTCCTTCCCTCCTCAAGCCTCCTCTCTTGCTCCAGTGCCTCGAATCGCCGCCACCGCCATGGCCGACCATAGCTTGAGATCATTGATCTCCCCGTGCACACCTCCTTTCGCAACCCCATTTCCTCCATTGGAACCGCAGTGGCATGGCACGTCCACCCAACCCCTCAAAGGCCTCGATTCAAAGCCGCAGCACCTTCCCCTGTCCTCGCCGGAGCTCCAAGCCGAACCATCGTTGTTGCTTCTATCTTCCTAGACACGAAGGCAGCGAACCATGACCGTCCGATCTGAGATGGGCAGTTCAGATCCTATGTTGACCACCGGTCAACCAGTCAAAGGTGAGGCCACATCACCTATATGAGCCAATCCTATCGCGCCACGTAGCCGTCAAATGCCACATCATTTGAAGTCAAGCCCAAAGATCACAGTTTTTACTGGTCAAGGGCCCCCCGGCAAGCCATGGCTAGAGGAAGGAGACCAAGGTAGAAGAAACAGCCAGGGGCAGAAAGGACATTTCCCATGCTTCTCTCTCCTCGAAAGCCCGGAAATGAATATTTTATTCGGTCTGGTGTCCACCAGCAAATTTGTAAGGAACCAGAGTGTCCACCAGCAAATCGCCAAATTTTGCATGTCCGCTAGCAAAGAGGGGTCACTTTGTATGTCATGTAGCAAATTTTGCCTTTTTAAAATAATCTGGATCCGAAACATTTCTATAAGAATCTGGAACCCTACCAAACACACCCTAAAATGAGGCTTTACGCATTGGAGGCAAGCGTCGGTTTCTCCCATCTTGCAACCATGCAATCCAACCTAGTCGTGTCCCCACATCGAGCACGCCTCGCCGATGGCGATAGTTCCACTCACATGTCCGCATGCATGTAAGCCCACCTCACCACCAGTTGTGCCTCTACCCATGCGCCCACATACATGTGAGCCCGCCCTGTTATCAGATGTTGTCGATCACAGCGATAAGAGGAGTGCGAGGTGATATAGCAACAACCTCACCCGATAGGCAAGTGGTGGTGCACCATTGGCGGTGACAGTCTTTCACCGAGGTCACGACGAGCAACAATTTACACAACTCTAGCTTTGAGGGAATGACCGCCAGCAAGTTTATGTTAACCTTGGCTAAGAGGTTGTCGGTGCACTAGTAGAATAGAATATGTTAGAAGATTTAGGCTAACCCAAATAATAATTCTAGATAAATCCCAAAGGCCTACTCACACATGCATGATATGGTGGGGGGCTTTAGTCCCACATTGCTACTCTAGAAGGAATGAGGCTAACTTAAATGGCTGAGTTGTCTCCTACTAGTTGAAGCTATTGGGGAGAGGAAAAGGAAGAAATCCACGCGCTCACTCGCCTCACCTCGCTGAGCGGGGCGATGGGCGTGGGCGCCCTACATGCGCGTGAATGGTCCGCTGATTTCTCGCATCGATCTTGTGGGTGCACGGCTTCCTTTTGTTGCTCGATATTTTTGCATGTATGGAGAAAATTGCACTAGCCTATCTTGGCAGGCAATTATTCTCGCATTAATGGTGATTGCTCTAGTCAATTAACGACAGGTCAATCACGTTAATGTTGTGATTGCGCGGCTAATTACTTACCTTAGCTGTGACGCGACTATTGGGTATCAGTATCAAGGATACATGGAAGAAGGAAGCTAATGGCCACGAACGCTAACTCCCTCAGATGGTCAAGAGCGTATCTTGGTCTCGCCCGGCCCCGAGGGCATGGGCTCTGTCTCGCCCGACCTCGAGGATGCAGGATCCGGGTCACCCGACCCCAAGGGCGCGGGCTCCGTCTCGCTCAACCCCTTGGGCGAGAGCCCCATCATGTCCGACCCCTTGA